TACAGTTTCCTAGATGAAGTACAGACACGAATTACGTGTATGCCGTTTTTTCTGATAACTTGACATTGAAGATCTCCTGGTATAAAACAGTATAATGGCAAAATAACTGGAATAAGTAATTAATGCATTTCACTATGTTAAATGTCATACTAAAACATACTACTTTTTACTTGTTATACTACAATTCTGCCTCATTTACAAGAAGGGAAACTATTATATTTAAAATTGTAATGGGAAACAAGTGAAAAAGTAATTTAACACAATATCTACTAATTAACTACATTTTAAAAGAATAAATCATTTGGAAAGTTTACCAAACACTTGGTGTATGACCTTTAATTAAGTGAAGTAATGCATTAGGGTTATCATAATTTGGATCACATATTTACTATAGATGGGATCCCACTCAGTAGCATGACTAGAAAAAATTATGTTGGCAGTAGTGGATAACTTACTCAAGCCATCAAAGCAGTGCTACTTTGCTAGTAGTACAGCTAAATGGAATTTTAGGATGTATTTATAGGCATACTGGTTATAAGTCAAAATAGGTTAATTATCTCTCATTACAAGCCACTTGGGAGTATTGTATTCAGCTTTGGTCTCCCTGTCTAAGAAAGGATAATGACTTATTGGAAAAAAAAAAAAAAAAGAGTTCATAGGGCGGCTACCAGGATGATTCCACTGATGGAAATATTGTCTCCTGGGAATAGATTAAGAACTCTTTAACTTATTTTCTCTTGAGAAAAAGACTTCTAAAGGTCACAAGATTATCCAAAAGATTAATAGGATAAAAGCTTCTTATTTCTTTGTGCTGTACTCTGAAGATAACAGATGAGAGGCCACAAGAAAGACGGACTGGGCTTCAATAAGGACAGTTATTTTTTTTAATGAGGTGATTAGTTCATGGAATGAGGTGTCACTGGCAGTAGTGGAGGGATTTAAGGGAGGAATCAATGAATTCACAGAAAATAAAGAGAAATATTTAAAAAATTTATGTTCACTCTTTCATAAAAACGAGTGTGCATTATCAGCCTTGAAGGACCAAATAATCCCTTGTAGTCCATATACTATAAAGAATATTTTAAATTTCATACTTTCTGATGAAAAAGCATTATCAAATCAATGATTATGCATTTTAGAAACATTTTGGTAATGAGAGAAAGGCAACATTAAAAAAAAAGGCTAGATATTTTAGGGTTAACAATGATAACACACAAATAAGAACTTTGTAAAGAGTACCAATAACAGCAGATGAAATATGATTATCCTCTCAAAGAAGCTAAAAAAACAATTTATTGAAATAACAGTTTTCTTTAATTTGAACCAGACGCTAATATTTATCATTTAAATTTTGCAAATGTTTAATATCAATAGCTAATTGCATTACAAGACACTGATATTTATCATTTAAATTTTACAAATGTTTAATTCTTACATTTCTTCTACTTCTCTCTCTCTTCCAGCAAATTTTGCAAGTTCATCAATAGCTTCATCCTGACAAACTGTGGAGTCAACATCAAAGCAAACAGCATCTGCTCCCCGAAACAGGGCTCTTAGCCTCTTCTCACAGTTGGCCATGCTGGACATTAGATGACAACGCTGGGAAATAATCTCCACTAACAATTTAACCTATACAAGTACATAAGGAATGTTTATTATTATTGGAGCCAGATTATCTGTATTTAAATGACGAACAAAAAAAAATGAAATATGGGATTATCTCAAAGTCAAAATATAAAATTAACAACTAATTTCGTAATAGTAAGAAAATGGTAAGTTGATTTGACACCATTTAAAATCGCAATAGTTAAAGAGAAAAAAATTAGATCAAAAAGTTGATAAATCGCATTTTTAATGTGATTTTCATAAATTTAGAATGTTTTTGACCTCACATGACTTAGTTATCTAGCGCTAGTATCAGTAGTAATACAATGCCTAAAAATCCCTAATCATTTAAACCACAGCTTGGTGAGACATAAAATTATTTCATCAGCAAATATTTAATCTTAAAAAATAAATATGGTTTCGAAACTATACGAAAGATATATAATTTACTTTATAATAGTCGATCCCTTTCCTAGGATACTCTAAATTTTGACACCATATAGTTTTACAATTATCCCAGTCAATATATGTACATCAGTTATATTGTTCACGAAATACATTTTCTTTGAGCTGTTTTTCTTCATTATAGATTCTTAACATTTTATAAAACCAAACAAAATATTTCAAAAAACTGCCTCCAAGTTAACACATTCGATTTCCACACCCAATATTTTATCTTACAAATATCAATAGGTGGCGCTAGTTCTAATAATTCTACTTAAAATTATCGTAAGAATTTTACCTGGGAATAAATACGTCGATCGTAAAAGAATGACCTATATCTTGCAGTACCAACAAGCATTTTATTTTCGTTTTATAACACCGTAAGTTAACTTTGGATGTCTGTTCTGTCACAGTTGTACAGGTAACGACTCGTTGACATACATTGCATCACCCAATTCAATTACTTTCAGTCCTACGACTTAGTAACGTCTAACTCCAAACCTATAACGTTATACTTCACAGAAAGCAGGCAACACCAATCTTAACGGCGACTTTATTATTATTAAACCTATCACTATCGGTCAATAATAATTTTTAATTGTAGTCTATTATACTTCTATTTCATAAAATAATCTAACTTCTAAGTTTACCACCGAGTACTTTTACCGCAAATGGCGTAGTCACACTCTTTCTCGACATTTGTGAGAAACCATAAGGTTACATTATGACGTCATACCACGGTAACCGTAGTGTGGAAACGAACTTAAAGGGTTACATATTTATTGTAATTAAAGCAGGTGATTTTAACAAAATAGAAGTTAACTTTTATTTTTAAATCAAAAGTGGGATATCGATCTTTAAAGTATTCGAGAATTTAAAACTAATCAGAATTATTTGATCGCAGTTTTAATCTAAGTATAGAAATAAAAGGTCCAAAAATGGATTAATATAATCAATATGGACAGATATAACACTTTTCTTAACCCTAGAACTACCGATGGTGAAACCATAGGCTTTTTAAGTGTATAATTATAAAATATTTATACACCAAATTATATGTTGATCTATGTATTTGCTAGTTATAAAGCCCTTAATGACATACAAGTCACAAAAAATATAAACAAAAATATCATGAATATTTAAATTAACCTCAGTGCTTATTATTGCCCCCCGTATTCATTTTACATTAAAATGTTCGATTTCACACATCCTCCGCCCTTTGGCAAGTTCTTTGTATTGGGTGGTGTAACGGGCCTAAACATAAAACAATTATATATGATGCAATATGTGGCCCACACCCTAGTGGAGGATATAAAAACTTTCGTAGTAATTCGCGTCGATTAATTTTATTTGGAGCTTGTCTAAATGTTTATTCTACAGTCTCCTTTTAAATAGTAGTTAAATAATTCTTACCAATGAATCGCCTTAAATACTTCTTGACGTAGAGGCCTTTCCTCAGCGTTCTTTCTATCCAACACTGCCAACATGTGAGCTGTTTCTTGTTGTGAATATCCCTTTATGGTAAAAAGGCGTGGCTAAAAACACAGATTGGCCAATGAAGGTAAAGCACGTGATCAGGTAATGATTGTAAACTTACCTTCTACACAGCTTTGGTAATTTTCCATAAATGAAATTACCTAATATTAATTTTTTTTAAAAACATAAAAAAATAAAAATAGTGCGTTTGTTTTCTCGATGGACATTTTTTTAAAGTGAAAAAAGTCCTAACATCGTTTTCAAATTTTATCTTTTTTACTGTGGCTGAAAAATAAACTACCCCGAGGATATTAGGAACTATAATTTCCTATTTGTTGCTATGTGTTGTGATATCCAATCACAAGGACCACAGGATTTATGTTCGTCTGGTTCAATTATGCACTTTATTATGTACGTGAATTTCTAACGTCACTGGTTTAACTGGTTTAAATCCCTAAATGTAACAAGGATTTTTGCTTTTCCTTGTTCAACGACTTATCTGAAAATTGAAACAAATAAAAATCCGACAAGGACATCTGCCGACAAAAGATGTCCCACTTTCATTCGGAGATAGGCAAGATAATTAGTTTTATATGAGTGATGTTCTAAACGACGAAATAGTCATTTTTTTTACTTGTTACCATAATTGACAAATCAAAACGGTTATCTTTTTCTCAATACTCTTCTTGCCTCGGCGGTTAGCAGCAGGTTACGACGCTACAAATCGGGTTTCGATACCAGTGGTGAGAAGAGCACTTAACAATAATCAAACTAATTAATACTCTTACAAAGCGCTGGAACTATATTACTGTATTAATATTTAATGCCCCCCCCCCCCAGTGGCACAGCGGTATATCTGGGGACTTATAACTCTAGAATCCGGGTTTTGATACCGTGGTGGCCAGAGCACAGATAACCCGTTGTGTAGCTTTTTGCTTAATTACAAAAACAAAACAATATCTAACGTTTTCGATCAGCTATAAATTTCACCTCAGTGAACTCGTTAAACCGGTAGCAGGTTCGGATAATTATTTTATTTTCACAATAAGTAAAATTCGAAAAATTGTTTAGAACTTAGTACTTGTTTAGTACTTACCTCGACTAAAAAAAAAAAATACTCATGCTGAAAATTGGGCCAAGAATCGCGCAGTTTAGTTCACCACAAGTAGATACCCCCCCCCCCTCCCCTTCTCCGATTCGTTCACTGCATTCTTTCCACTGCTGCTTTCCTCCGAAGTTAATGCTTTAGTGATTTGTTGAATATATATAGGAAATGTAAATAAGAACCTCTGCTTTGACACGTCTACAACCATCAACACACTGTGTTAACAGTTCAATGTCTGTGTTTATGTAAAACTACAAATAAGATTCATACATAAAACATCAGGTTTTGATCATTCCATATCGATAAACAAAAACGTTTTTTTTTGCCACACTGAATATATGCATTTTGTTTTGCCCCCTCCCAGTGGCACAGCGGTATGTCTGCGGACTTACAACGCTAGAGACCGGGTTTCGATACCCGTTGTGGGCAGAGCACAGATAGCCCATTGTGTAGCTTTGTGCTTAATTTCAAACAAACAAACAATCATGGTGTAATTACACATATATTAAAAAACGTTAACTCAAGTTATTTCTAAATCGTTACTTGTGTTTCTTTTTTTCCAAAGTGGCTCTTCATTAATGAAGTAAAATTCTCATGAACTTACACTCATTCAGTTCCCGTCACAGACCTTAAGGGCAGGATTTGTATAGTCAGTTTGTTTGTTTGTTTTGAATTTCGCGCAAAGTTACACAAT